ATTTCTCTGAGGATTGCAGTGATCTATCGGCCTCCTGAACCGGAGTCACGCTTTCTTGATGATTTCTCTTCCTTGCTACCCTACTTTCCCTCCTCTAAACTACCCACTATCATTCTTGGAGATTTTAACATCCCCATTAATGTCAACAACCCGGCTACATCCCAACTCTTCAACATAACCTCATCTTTTGCATTAGTACAATGTATACAGTCCTCCACTCACTCTGATGGGAATACATTAGACCTTGTTTTCTCCCGTCTTTGCACTCCCTACAACCTCACAAACACCCCCTTTCCTCTCTCTGATCACAATCTCATCACCTTCAGTGTCCTCGTCTTCAAACACCTATCCCTCCAAGCAGCAAACAATTACCCGCAGAAACCTTCACAACTTGAACCCTGCTCCTTTCCACTCTGCAACTGACCAACTCTACGACAGAATCTCTCTCCTGTCCTGCCCTCACCTGGCCACTACTGTCTACAACAATTCGCTTTCATCCACACTAGACTCACTTGCTCCTCGAACAACACAAAACATCAGGCCCCGACCGTTACAACCTTGGCAGACTGACGACACCAGAAATCTTAAATGACATAGTTGTGCGCTGGAGCGATTGTGGCGTAAAACCAAATCTCACCAAGCATTCACCCTCTATAAATCTGCTTTCTTAACATACAATTCCTCCCTCCATGCTGCCAAACAAGCCTACTTTGTCCCTCTCATCAATAACTTATCATCCAGTCCTCGTCGTCTCTTCTCTACTTTTAACTCTCTACTTTCTTCACCTTCACCCAGCACCTCACTCACTGCTCACGAGATTGCAAATCATTTCAAAAGCAAGATGGATGTAATTCGTAGGGGCATCGCCACTGCACAGACATCCATCCCACATACTAAACCTCCCTCAACACTTTCCTTTTTATGACCTTGCTACTCCTGAAGAGGTCACTAAGGTTTTCTCAGAAGCCCGTCTCACCATCTGCCCCCTGGATCCTGTTCCCTCACAACTACTACGGTCACCCTCTTCTTCCATCCTATGCTCCCTCACTCAAATCTTCAATCTCTCCCTCTCTAACGCTGCCTTCCCCTCCTCTCTAAAGTATGCACACATCACTCCCATACTTGAAAAGCCCTCCCTGGACCCCCCACCAACCTAAGACCCATCTCCCTGCTCCCATTTATCTCTAAACTCTTAGAACGCCTAGTCTACAATCGCCTGAGCTCTCACCTCACCGACAACAACCTTCTTGACCCTTTACAGTCTGGCTTTCACTCACTACACTCCACTGAAACTGCCCTATTAAAACTCACTAATGATCTACTAACTGCTAAAACCAATGGCCACTACTCCGTACTTTTACTACCCGACCTCTCTGCGGCTTTTGATACGGTTGACCATCCCCTCCTCCTCAAAAAACTCCACTCTCTTGGCCTCCGAGACTCTGCTCTCTCCTGGTTCTCCTACCTATCACAGCGCTCCTTCAGCGTGACTTATAACTCTGGCTCCTCCTCTTCACTCCCTCTTTCTGTAGGGGTCCGTCCTTGGGCCCCTACTCTTCTCCATCTACACCTCCTCCCTTGGTCACTTGATAAACTCCTATGGCTTTAAGTACCATCTCTATGCTGATGACACACAAATCTATCTTTCTACCCCTCACCTCACCCCTTCAGTCTCCTCTCGCATTACTAACCTACTAAGTGACATATTGGCATGGATGTCACTCCACTTCCTCAAACTCAATCTTTCCAAAACTGAGCTCTTAGTATTCCCTCCAAACTGTGCCCCCCCCTCCCCTAACTTCTCCATCAAAATCAATAACACAATCATCAGTCTCTCCCCTCATGCCAGGGTACTAGGTGTAATCCTAGACTCCCATCTGTCCTTTCAGCCACAAATCCAATCACTGTCCAAATCTTGTAGACTTCACCTCCACAACATCTCCAAGATACGGCCGTTCTTAACCTCCGAAACTACTAAGCAACTTATTCACTCCCTGGTTATATCTCGCCTTGACTATTGTAACTCCCTCCTCATTGGCCAACCTCAATCGCAGACTATCCCCTCTTCAGTCTATCATGAATGCTGCTGCCAGACTCATCCACCTTACTAACTGTTCTATATCATTCATCCCTCTCTGCCAATCCCTCCACTGGCTTCCCATTGCCCAACGGATAAAATTCAAAACATTAACAATAACATATAAAGCCATTTATAACGCTGCCCCAAATTACATCAGCAATCTTGTCTCCAAATATCACCCAAACCGTACTCTCCTCTCCTCACAAGACCTCCTGCTCTCTAGCTCCCTTGTCTCCTCCTCCCATGCTCATCTCCAGGACTTCGCCAGAGCTTCCCCCATCCTCTGGAACTCTCTACCCCAATTTATCAGACTATCGCCTACTCTGCTCACTTTTAGGCGATCTCTGAAAACCTATCTCTTCAGGGAAGCCTATCCTGCCCTCTGCTAATAATGGAATCTTCTACTCTTCCTACCAGTCCATCCCCCAGAGTTATTACCTTTTGTACCGTTAACCCCTCCCTCCTAGATTGTAAGCTCCAAGGAGCAGGGCCCTCCTATCCTTGTATTGAACTGTATTGTTGCTGTATTGTCTCCCTTTATATTGTAAAGTGCTGAGCAAACTGTTGGCACTATATAAATCCTGTACAATAATAATAATTCTTAGCATTGTTTGGCATTCACATCTTTATCTGGCAAATAGAAGTGGGGTCTCTCTGCATATGTAGGAACTTAGTTCCATTTGGCTGTGGTGTTAGGGAGAGTCAGTTTGGTCCGGTTCAGCTGTCTGCCAGTTATCACCTCAGACCCATGGGTCATTACAGTCTGTTTTTCTCCCCTCCTCTGCTAAGTCTGACACAGGCACAGTGGACTGGTTTGGGTTAGGATCAGTCTACAGCAGTTTCCCGCAACCTTTTTTTCAGTCAAGGCACCCTGCAACACCAAGATGCTGCGGTGCAAAGGCACCCCACGATCCTCCCTATCAACTCAATGACTTACATTGGTTGTAAGGAGCTAGTCAGATCAGCATTCTAAAAAGTATCATACGGGAGAGTCCTGCACAAATCTCAAGGCACCCCATTCTAAAATGTAAAAAAAAACCTAAACTAATAGTTTTACATAATGCAGAAACATCCACACACATAGGATACCCAATGTTAGAGGTGAAATAGTCTTACAAAGCAAATACACCTTTGCACATTGGTACTGACTAGTATTCCAATGTTCCTCTTCTGCCTCAGTTCTACCTCTCCCTAATGTGACCCCAGTGCTGATGAAGAGGGGCAAACAAAGATGCTGTGCAGGCACCCAGCATCCTCCCTATCAACCAATGACTTCATTGGTTGTAAGGATGCTAGCAGCTAGAAGGATGTAACGCTTTACAATGAAAACCTGTGGCTTTGTGTAACTTAAAATCAGGCTTGATCCACCCATTGGCTTGTATACCATTTTTAGGCACTTACGGGTTTTTTTTTTCCAAGGCATCCCTGAAGAAACCTGACGGCATCCTGGTTAAAAAAAAAAAAAAGGCTGGTCTACAGCTCCATTATTAGATGTGGACTGTATACCTTCTCTGAAAGAATTGTTCAGACTTGGCTATTACACACATATCAAAATGTTTTCCCATTATTGTAGCTGTTTGATTTCTCATTTCACCATCTCTAGATGGGTTAGACAGACCACCATTCAAGCTTATGGCCTAAGGGATTGGGTTCTGACATCAAGTATTTTTTTTTTTCCCAGTTTGTGAGGCTACCACCTGGTCTTCGGTTATCAGGTGGCTATTCACGGATCATCAGATGCCTGCTTCAAGTGTTATGTTCTTCATGTGGCTCCTTGAGTTTCAGTCCCCAGTTTGTTTCTGGGGGTCTGTTAGGATTTTTTTTTTTTTTTTTTTTTGCTCACCCCTTTGCTGTGCTGGTTTTGAACAGCTTGACAGTCTAAGAACTTTGTGCCTCTCAATGAACAAGAAAGAAAAAATAATTTTTGTACACAACATAAAATGCTATGTTTGAAAATATTGAGGGGAAATAGGTCCCTCGCCTCTGTGTTTATTTTCTTGCTCTTGGTACCACTTATTATTAAAAAACTGAGACACGATGGTTGTGGGATGTGTCCATTTCTCCTATAGGCGGTAACAGAGAGCAACTTCCTTCAAATTGCTTCTAGCGGTTTCAGGGTTGTTAGCTATCACGTGTGCAATGCATGGAAACCATGCTTTCTTTGGCATAAGGCAGGGGGAGCAATAAGTAGTTACAGTCAGGTTAAGGTGGGCCAAAAGGGGGGGGGGGGGGAAGCCATCCACTGTAAATATTTTTTTTTTTTTTTTTATTTACAACAGAAGGCATTTTTATGTAACTACTTACATAAAAAAAAAAAAAAAAAAAAAATATATATATATATATATATATATATATATATATATATAAAAATTTATATATAAAATATTCCTTATTCAAAATGATGGTTTAGCAAATTAAACATTTTCTATCAAATGTATAATTTGATGGACACTATGGAAAGCAAAACAACAATCCGAGCATGTTACGGTACAATGGTAATAACAGTTAGAAATTACAGATTGAACATCAGAAAAACTCTGTAAATATAGCCATTTAATAACATTCATAATAGCCATTATGCGCTCACGTTTGCCATGTTATGCAGTCCAGGTGTAGAAGTATGTGCAATGCAGTCCTGGGTGTTTGACCTCCTTTGTTCAGTGAACACAGAAAAATGTAGACTGCTTTTATCCAAATGAAAAATAAATCTTCTTACTCTGAAGTTAAAGTTGCCAAGCTTCTGCCTACTTGAGCAAAGTTGAAAACAGTTCAATCCTCGAAATCAGGAACCCATTAAAAGCCTGTCCAATACAGACCAACGTAGTTAGTGTTCCCTTTGCACAGCAAGTAAATCTATTCCAAATGAGCCATGTGATGTTCTAAACAACACTGCAAGTGCTCATTTACCAGCTTGGAAGTGTCAAGATCTTTTCTTCATCTTTCCTTTCTTAAATCCATTGCTCTTTCCTCTGCCAAAAGCAGTTTTCCTCATTTCCTGCACTCTCTGCTTTGTTTTATTTTTCAGCTTTTTCATTCCACCGCTTTGTAAGAAATGCTGCTTCTGCTGTGATCTTCTCTGCTTGAGAATCTGCTGTTTGGTGCGCAGCTCAGAGCGAACCTTGCCACGGGGGCCTGATGCCTCTGTGCGGGGCAAGCTTCGAGAGCCACCACGTCCACCTGTTGACAAAGAACAAAAGGTTACATAGTAGAACATTTATATATAGGGGAGGGGCACCAACGTCACCACGTACCCGGACTCCGATGCACGGCGAGTATAGGCAGTGTGATCCCACACGCCGCTCAGGCTGGATACAGTTTTTTATATCAAAAGCGCTTTGTTGGCTTTTATCTAGTAAGTGCGCAATTGGCACTAATAAATCTCTATGCTTATCAAGGATAAGGCACTATTTCTTTCTTGTTTTTTTCTGGCAATACGCTGAGCAACAGGGAGAAAATAAACAGCAACTCTTGGAGGGAAGATCTAGTCCAGGATTTATTTACGGCAGATCAGTAGGAGCAAAACAGAGAAACATTCAGTCTTCTACTAATAGAAGAACACCAAGTAACTAATTTCATCTTGAGAGGTGTCATTTTGGAAATCATGTGAACAGTCCATTTGCAGTATATAGTCCCACTTAGATGGGATATGATATATGAAGGGATTTTCAATTTTATTGGACATTTATGAATTATTCTAAATGTATTTATTTAATTATTCTTTCAATTCTATTGAACATTTATGAATTATTCTTTCTTAATTTATTTATTTTCATCAATTAATATCAATTATTTTATTTTTTAGATTATTTATTTATAAAAAAAAATTTTTATATATATATTTTTTTTTAATATTTTTTATCTGGAGTAATTAAGGGGAAATTATTTATAGATCATTGAATATTATTTACTATAAATTGATTTTATTTATTCACGGTGTTTACATAAGGGCGCGGCACTACTTTTCACTTTTTTTTTTGCTAATATTTGTTTTTGGCTTCCAAATGTATCTACAAACATGAAGACAATTTGTAAGCATGCAACACATGACAATAGCAATTTCTTTTACAGTATTTCTTCAAAAGACTTCAAGTTTGGTATCCATTTGATCAAACACAGCGTGTTAAATTAAATAAAGGCTGCAGGTCAATCACACTGTTCTCCTACAGCCTTGTAACATAAAAAAAACCCAACAGAATAACTAGCTTGTCTATAATTTTTGTAATATTTTGTTTTTCCTTTAGGATTAACAGTGTAATGAAATCTACTCAAGTTTATGCCTGAATGTCTACCTACTGCTGAACACTCACCTCGTCCCTTCCTATGTGTCCTTCCTGTCTGTCTCTCTTCATCTTCCTCAGAGTCCTGGTCATCAATCTTGTACTTTTTTCTTCCAGTCCTCATATCTACACAATGTAAAGGGCTAAAAGCACACTCATTTGCAGATATAACCTTGTTACATACTATTAGAAGAAAAGGCATTGAAAAGACTGCTACAAAAGAAGATACAGAAAAGAATTAGGGTTTTTTTTTCAAATACTATAAAAACACACAGGGGGAAGGGGGCACAAACATTACCACAAACACTTTTATTAGACACCCAAAAGATAAAAACACTCACAAACATAAATAAAGACAAGTGTGATATATCACAAAGTTCTGATTCAGTTGTGGGATGGTATCACCTGGCTCAAGCAGATACAGATTGGTAGGCTTATGCGTTTCAGAGGACGTGCCTCCTTCTACAGAGCGAACAAAAAAAACCCTGAAGAGGGCACATCCTTCGAAATGCGAAAGCCTACATAGCTGTATCTGCCTGGGCCAGTTGACACTGTCCCACGGCTAGATCAGAACATTGTAATATATCACGTTTGCTTTTATTTATGTTTGTTTTTTGGCTTTTAATAAAAGTGGTTGTAGTACTGCACTAAGCTTTTGCATCCCCCTGTATGTTTTTACAGTTTCTGTCAAGATTCCCCAGTCTAAGGAGGGCTGTATTGGTAAAGCATTACAGTTAGTGAAGGTGGTACCTCTGGATGTGTATACTTTTGGAGCGCTGGAGTGTTCATGTATAACGGGGAAAAAACACCATATATTACAAGATATTACCCAGAAGATGCAGGTCTAGATTTGATATAATGGAGTTAGTGTATATTGCACATGCATTGTGGTTCTCAAATATGGTGTTCATACTCCACTTTTAAAAACTCTCCATAGGGTTCACTGCAGCTATACTTAAAGCAAGAATCTTTCCTCTATTTTCTTGCAAGTGCTACACACAAAACTATTCTGCACAGCAGCTAGAAAAAAAAGATTTTTGACTTACCTGTAAAATATGTATTCTGTAGTACAGCACAGGACCTTCACTTGCTGAGATTGAAAGGGATTTTAAAATAGGGGGATGCCCCTGCAGCCTTCTTTTTTTGCCAGTGTCAAATCAGCTGAAGGTAAGTGCATATAACCCAGTCATAAAGATTTAAAGAAACCTGTGTCCTGTACTGTACTCCAGGAAACAGCTTTTACTGGTAATTGAAAAATCCAAAATGTTCCTGATCCTACAGTGCAGGACAAAGGCTTCTTAAAATCATTATGACTGGGATATCCAAAAGCAGTCCAACTGAGGAGTGGGCAACACAACAAACATAGGCGAACATAATAAAAAGGTCAAGATGGCTATGAAACTCAGAGCAGCTTGTAGCACCTTATACCCAAAGCTGGCATCATAGAAGGCTTGAGGAACCACCAACGTGTGAACAGAAGCCCAGGTGGCAGCCTATGTAAATCTGAGAAATGGATGCCTTATGCTGAAAAGCCCATAAAGTACTAAAACATCTGGTAGATTGTGCTCTTAATGGTAACCATATCAATAGGTTCTAATGAAAACTGTGCCTGATCCACCTAGCAATGGTAAAGGGACAAGCAGGAAGGTCCTTTGGGGAACCTTCAGGAAGCATTAAAATGGGAATTTTGCAGCAGGGACGTAAATTCTAGTACGCACCACCATGCCCAGATAAAGGAGGAGAAATTTCCCTAGAATATTTCAGAGCTAAATATAAGAAAACACAATATCTTAATGAAGATGGAAGGCACAGACCACCATGTGCAACAGTAAGAAAGGCTCCTTACCAGACAGGGTTGCTAACTCAGACTCTCCTTGCCAAGGTGATAGCCACCAAAACGGCAACCTTACTGGAAATGTAAGATAGGGAAAGATCCCTGGTAAGTTCAATGGATGGAAGGAATTAAACTACCAACTAGGAGGAGGACACCGTGAGACCCAAGACCTTCTTGCAAGCAGGACTTGAGAGCTTACTCTGGGCCCAGATACCCTGGCATGAGACCAAAGGGACGCCACATTCAGCATCAGGCCCAGGTACTCCTTTGTTTGAAAAGAAATTAGCAATGAATACTGGAGAGTGAGCATCCAACCAAAGTTGTACTGAGCCTGTACAGTCTGTTGGATGTTGACTGACAGGGCCTGGTCCTTCAACGGGAAAAGTGACAAATTGGTAATGCTGATTGCCCACAGAAAAACGCAAATATAGTGTTGGTGAGATGGAGTGTGCAGATAAGCATTCTAGATGTCTATTGAGGCAATGTCTGACCTAGCTTTTCATGCAAAACCTATGAACATGTAGGAACGAGTTGAGAGTCTTCAGATATAGATTAGGTTACACTCCCCCATTTATTGTGGGAACCATAAAGATATTCGGGCAGAAACCCTGAAAGCATTCTCCTTTTGGTATAGGGGTAATGACCCCTTGATTCAAGAGCTGCTGGAAAATAGCAAGCAGATCTGCCTACTGAATGGGAAGGGGACAAGTTAGAGAGCATGAAGTGGAGGATGCAGCGTGCCAAACTCCAGTTTGTAACCCCTAAAAACAACACTCTGGACTCAGACATCTTCACATCACTGTGAAGAGGCTTAGACGCCAGTCGTGGATGGTTTGGACAGCCACGTCTTCTTATGACAATATGTTCCTGTCTTGGGGTTAAGACTGAAAGCAAAAAATCCAGCTGACTACAGACAGGAGGGATCCACAAGGATGGAGTTGGTGTTTTAGACCATCTTCTTAGTCCAGATAGCAGGATCCACCAAGGCAAAGATAGCCTTAAGGGATATTAAACCTTGATTCTTTTTAAGCACTTTCGGTAGCAGATTTATTCATTTACTTCAGCACCTTTTTCTTTTAATCCTTGCCTATGTTCCCGTTTTAGCTGCCATGACCAGTATACCAGGTTTCCCATTTCAGGATTGCTCCTTTCACTTGTGGCATCTTATTGAGTTACGCTTCAATGCAGGAACTAGAGTTGTGTCTCCTTACTTTGTGTGCATCACAGATACATACAGCCCTATAGCCTAGGATGGCAAGGCACTCCAACTCCTCTCTCCACCAAGCTAACAGACTAACTTGAGACTGCACTGTCCACTGTTAACTTATTTCTTGTGGAGACCAGACATTCAGGGAAGCAGCACATAGAGCAGGAGCAAACATTGAAATCTGTTAATTGCAAGTGCTGGGGTAAGCATTTTAAACAAATAGTGTACTGAAGAATGTTTATTTTATTGTACTCAATGTGCTAAGCTAAGGTGACGAGCATTTAACACTACTTTAAAGAGGGCCTCTATCCTTTTATCTACTGGATCTTCAACACAGAATTGTCCTCCATGGGGACCCTGAGGGTCTTATTAAAGTCTAGCACAGGAAATGCCCATTTCCAAACTCACAAGGCGAGGCCGGCCTCCATACAGGACAGGCTCAACTAATGAATTGACAGAGAAGGAGTAAGCTGGTGTAGCACATTTTAGAAACCCGATACTTGAAACCTTTGGGGGAGCAGACTCAGACTGTTCCCATGCAAAACAAGAGCATACAACTTCAATAGGTCTAGCAATAGTCTAGTTGAGCTTAGGGGAAATGTCTTTAAACAGGTGTATCATCCTAAACCAATGCCTCAGAAGGTGGGGGTGTTCAGATCATTTGACACCTTCTCTTGCACTGTGTCTGGCTCAAGGGCAAAGTCAAATACTGATTCCGGAGGGAAGGTAAAAAGGGACATACCATGGCCCCTGTTGTCCAGTGCCTCAACAAGGCAAGAAATCTCTGCCCATGAACTCAGATTTACAGAAAATTCCTCTATAGAGAGGAAGGAAGAGACGATGGCCCTGCCAAATTACCAGAAGAAAGAAGGTAGGATGAATGGGGGCAACCAGAGGAAAGGTTTTAAAAAGTGCAATGAAAATCTATTGAGTTGGGGAGATTCACCAAACCAGAAAAAGTATTAACAACCTAACAAATAAGCCATAAAAAAGGATACATGTTCGTCTTATAAGAGCTGCTGATAAGTCTTCCACTCTCTGTTCTTACTTTCTTTTTATCCTCATGTCCCCCAGCTCCCACAAACTTCTTTTTCTTACGATCCCTAAATGGAAAGATAAAGTGAGTATATGTAAAACACAGCCACCAAGTGACTTACTTCTAGGTTTCATTATTAGCAAGACTCAAAAGTAGTGCTGGACAAGCAACTAAAAGGCCTCATTTACACTGTGTGAATAACATACACTGAATTCCAGCAGCAAGAATCAGCAGATTCCTGCAGTTAGAATAACAGGTGTTTGCAAAGAGCTGTGGCCACTTAGACCTGGTTCATACCTATGTATTTTTGGTGCTTTTTGCAGAAACACACTACAGTCCATTTAACAGTTCCCTATGGGACACATTCACATCTATAATTTTTCTGCCGCTACGTTTTTGGAAAGGGCAGGGATGAGCAATTTGTATCGCCTGATGCCAAGGACATGGTTTCGGGCGTTGGGCAGGTAGTATTTTGAGGCCTACCCCACATATACAAACATAAACACACATTTCAAGGAGCCTACACCTGAAAAAGTTGATTGCGTCCCATTTGTTGCATACTGCCATGCACGCCGGAACGAGAGCAGTAGTTCTAGCACTAGACTTCCTACATAACGCTCCGTAAGTGATTACCTACATGGGGCTTTAAAAGTGTCACCTATAAAAAATATAGGGTACTAAAGTTTGTCGCCATTTCAGCAGTGCACGCAAATTTAAGGTTTGACATGTTTGGTATCTATTTACTTGGTGCAACCTCATCTTTTATATTTTACAAAAAAATTGGTAATTTATTGCCTTTTAGTGTCCTAAAATTACCTTAAGTGTGTTTTTCACTTAAATGTTGCATTTCCTAGACCTTTTGAGATAATATCATGTGACATAAAAAATTGGAACTGCCACTATTTTATTCTCTAGGGTCTCTGCTTTCAGAAAATACAGTTGTGTTCAAAATAATAGCAGTGTGTTGAAAAAAGTGAATAAAGCTCAAAATCCTTCTAATAGATTTTATTTCCATACACACAAATGCATTGGGAACACTACACATTCTATTCCAACTCAAAACATGAAGAAAAATATATCAAATTTGTGTTGTTCCTCTAAAAAAATTGAAGAAAAGTGAATATTAGAATGTTCAAAAAAATAGCAGTGTTTGTATTCTTCTTACAAACTCAAAACATTCACTATATAAACTGAAAAATGTTTGAAGATTTTGCTTTCCTTTGAATCACTCAATTAATATTTAGTTGTATAAGCACTGTTTCTGAGAACTGCTGTACATCTGTGTTGCATGGAGTCAACCAACTTCTGGCACCTGTGAACAGGTATTCCAGCCCAGGATGATTGGACTACATTCCACAGTTCTTCTCCATTTCTTGGTTTTGCCTCAGAAACTGCATTCTTGATGTCACCCCACAAGTTTTCTATTGGATTAAGATCCGGGGATTGGGCTGGTCACTCCATAACGTCAATCTTGTTGGTCTGCAACCAAGATGTTGCACGTTTACTGGTGTGTTTGGGGTCGTTGTCTTGTTGGAACACCCATTTCAAGGGCATTTCCTCTTCAGCATAAGGCAGCATGACCTCTTCAAGTATTCTGATGTATTCAAACTGATCCATGATCTTTGGTATGCGATAAATAGGCCCAACACCGTAGTATGAGAAAACATCCCCATATCATGATGCTTGCGCAACCATGCTTCACTGTCTTCACAGTGTACTGTGCCTTGAATTCAGTGTTTGGGGGTCGTCTGACAAACTGTCTCCGGCCACTAGACCCAAAAAGAACAATCTTACTTTCATCAGTCCACAAAATGTTGCGCCATTTCTCTTTAGGCCAGTCAATGTGCTCTTTGGCAAATTGTAGCCTCTTCAGCACGTCTTTTTTTCAACAGTGGGACTTTGTGGGGGCTTCTTGCAGATAACCAAAAAATTGATGAAGCGCTCAGCTTATAATGTACAGAACATAAATCAATAATATATATTGTATATTATAAACTACAAATCCAAACGTGATTAAATCATGTGAATAATAAACACACTCAATCCCCTATAAAATGACAATGGATAAATAGCGTGACATCAGCAATACAAAATGAACTAGTGCTCTGATAAGGTACCTAAATTCTAAAATTATATAAATGTGACAAACCAAACTCCTGATATGCCACCTAGTGGCTAACCAGATAAGTGAAAATTATTAAATGATAACACTGTGTTTTCAAAATGACAGGTGTAACGAAATATATAAATAAATCAAAAACAGTCCAAAATAATGTGATATCAAAACTGTGCAAATAATGTATAGTGTTCAATACACAGTGCTTCAAGACTTCATTCCATGCTGCAAACGTGCTCCTGGTGACACTCTGATGTGACTCCCCTGGACTAGCTAAAGTGCCTCCTCACCTTCTAAATTCAACCCAAAAGGGCCACAGAGGTTTATATTATAAGGATCTCGCCTCCCGGATCCATACCCCGCTTCCTGGATGACTTCGCCGCCTGGCTTCCCTTCTTCCTCTCCTCTGAGCTACCGACCATCATCCTTGGGGACTTCAATATCCCCATCAACGACAACAACCCGGCTATTTCCCAACTCCTCCACCTAACCTCCTCCTTCGCGCTCACACAGTACGCTCAATCCTCCACCCACATCGATGGGAACACCCTGGACCTCGTCTTCTCCCACCTCTGTACCCTCAACCAGTTCACTAACACCCCCTTCCCTCTCTCCGACCACCACCTCCTCACGTTCTCCATCTCCCCTTCCCCTAACTACCCCCCCCCCCCCCCAAGGCGCCAAACCATCACCAGCCGCAACCTCCGCAACCTGAACCCGGCCCCCCTCCACTTGGCTGCCGACCGCCTACACGACAGCATCCTTCCACTGTCATGTCCTGACCTAGCCACCACCACATACAACGACTCACTGTCAGCTGCCCTAGACTCTTTGGCACCCCTAACCACATGCAACATCAAACCTAGACCGCTTCAACCATGGCAGAATGACCATACTAAACGCCTCAAACGTCGCAGTCGCGCGCTGGAGAGACTATGGCGCAAAACCAGGTCCCCTCGTGCGTTCTTCCTCTACAAATCTGCCTTCCTCGCTTACACCTCCTCCCTCCACGCCGCCAAGCAGGCCTTCTTCGTAAACCTGATCAACAACACCCTCGCCGACTCTTCTCAACCTTCAACTCCCTGCTCTCTCCCCCCCTCCTCCACTCAGTACCTCACTCACCGCCCACGAGATTGCCACCCATTTTCACAACAAGATTGACGCAATCCGTAAGGACATAGTCAACTCGCAATCTACCCCCCCCCATCACCCCCTCATCTCTCCCCTCCTCTGACCTCGCAACCGCACTGCCCCCACCACCACACCCAAGGCTCCGCTTACGGTAACCCCCCCAGCTCTATGCTCTTTCAGCCCTGCTACCACTGAGGAAGTCACCAGGGTCTTCTCAGAAGCCCGCCTCACTACGTGCCCCCTGGACCCTATCCCCTCTCATCTCCTCCGGTCACCCCCCCCTCCTCCCTCATCCGCTCCCTCACCCACATCTTCAATCTCTCCCTCTCTACTGGCGCATTCCCCTCCCCCCTAAAGCATGCGCACATCACCCCCATACTCAAAAAGCCCTCCCTGGACCCCACAGACCCAAACAACCTCAGACCCATCTCCCTTCTGCCACTCACTTCCAAGTTCCTTGAGCACTTAGTCTATGATCGCCTGAGCACCCACCTAACTGACAACAACCTCCTTGACCCACTACAGTCCGGCTTCCGTCCCAAACACTCCACCGAAACCGCCTTCCTCAAAATCACTAACGACGTGCTAACCGCCAAAGCCGACTACTCTGTCCTCCTTCTCCTGGACCTCTCCGCGGCCTTCGACACAGTTGACCACCCCCTCCTCCTTAATAAACTACTCTCCCTTGGCATCAGAGACACCGCTCTCTCCTGGTTCTCCTCCTATCTATCCCAACGCTCCTTCAGCGTTTCCTACAACGGTGCCACCTCCCCTCCCCCTCTCTGTTGGGGTCCCCCAAGGCTCTGTCCTCAGACCCCCCTTCTCTTCTCCATCTACACATCCTCCCTTGGCAAACTCATACACTCCCACGGCTTCAACTATCACCTCTACGCTGATGACACTCAAATTTACCTCTCCACCCCTCACCTCACCCCCACAGTCTCCGCCCGCATCACTCACCTCCTAAACGACATCTCAGACTGGATGTCGCTCCATTTCCCCCACATTAACCTCTCCAAAACCGAGCTCTTCATCTTTCCCCCTGCCCACGCCCCCCCCATCCTCTCCATCACTACCAACACCACCACCATCAATCCCGCCCAGCAAGCCAAAGTCCTTGGCGTCACTTTGGACTCAAACCTTTCCTTCCAACCTCATGTCAAATCACTTACAAACACATGCAGGCTCCACCTCCGCAACATCGCCAAGATACCCTCCTTCCTTACCCCAGACACCACTAAACTACTCGTACACTCCCCGATTATCTCACGCCTTGACTACTGCAACTCCCTTCTCACCGGCCTGCCCCAGTGCAGGCTCTCCCCGCTTCAGACCATCCTGAACTCAGCGGCCAGACTCATCCACCTCACCAACCGCTCCACCTCTGCCACCCCCCTCTGCCTATCCCTCCACTGGCTCCCGGTTGCCCAACGCATCAAATTCAAACTGCTAACTCTGACCTACAAAGCCATTCACAACACTACCCCTAACTACCTCACCAACCTGATTCCCAAGTACCACCCTACCCGTACCCTTCGCTCCTCACAGGACCTCCTTCTGTCTTGCTCCCTGGTCGTCTCCTCCTCCCACGCACGACTGCAAGACTTCTCCAGGTCCTCCCCCATCCTCTGGAACTCACTACCCCCCAATCCATCAGATTGTCGCCTTCCCTCCTCACCGTCAGGCGCCCCCTGAAAACCCACCTCTTCAGGGAAGCCTACCTCAGGTCCCCCTCGGGGTAATGGATTCCTCTTAGACCACTCTCCTCGCAATATGGACTCAGATATACAGGCCATGTGTACTGGATAACATGTGAGTGTCCATTTCTTGGTGTTTTTAAAGTGAATTAAAACGGTGTTGCACTATGGAAATCTGTTTTTTGTTTTAATACACATGCCCTGTATATCTGAGTCCATATTGCGAGGAGAGTGGTCTGAGAGGAATCCATTACCCCGAGGGGGACCTTAGTGGATTCGGTGGAATCAGTGGAGACATTGGAGCCAGGTTGAGATCCTTATAATATAAAGCTCTGTGGCTCTTATGGGTTGAATTTAGAAGGTGAGGAGGCACTTTAGCTAGTCCAGGGGAGTCACATCAGAGTGTCACCAGGAGCACATTTGCAGCATGGAATGAAGTCTTGAAGCACTGTGTATTGAACACTATACATTATTTGCACAGTTTTGATATCACATTATTTTGGACTGTTTTTGATTTATTTATATATTTTGTTACACCTTTCACTTTGAAAACACAGTGTTATCATTTAATAATTTTCACTTATCTGGTTAGCCACTAGGTGGCATATCAGGAGTTTGGTTTGTCACATTTATATAATTTTAGAATTTAGGTACCTTATCAGAGCACTAGTTCATTTTGTATTGCTGATGTCACGCTATTTATCCATTGTCATTTTATAGGGGATTGAGTGTGTTTATTATTCACATGATTTAATCACGTTTGGATTTGTAGTTTATATAATATACAATATATATTATTGATTTATGTTATGTACATTATAAGCTGAGCCCTTCATCAATTTTTTGGTTATTTGAACATGTCCTGTGGTATAGGGAATAGGTGATAGCAGATGGCTTTTTAGTTAGGTATTCTGTGGAGCGCATGAGGACCTCTGTTTATAATTACTTCTTGCAGATAGCTTGGCTTCACATAGGCGTCTTCTAATTGTAACAGTACTCACAGGTAACTTTACACCTTCTTTGATCTTCCTGGAGCTGATTGTTGGCTGAGTCCTTGCCATTTTGGCTAGTCTTCTATCCATTCGAATGGTAGTTTTTCGCTTTCTTCCACGTCTTTCAGGTTTTGGTTGTCATTTTAAAGCATTTGCGATCATTTTAGCTGAGCAGCCTATCATTTTCTGCACTTCTTTACATGTTTTCCCCTCTCCAATCAACTTTTTAATCAAGGTACGCTGTTCTTCTGAACAATGTCTGGAACGACCCATTTTGCTCAGAATGTCAGAGAGAAATGCACTGTAACCAGCATGTACAACATTTGCTGCCTTCCTTCCTTAAATAAGGGCAATAATTGCCACCTGTTTTTCAAAGAATGAATGACCTCACTAATAGAACTCCACACTGCTATTATTTTGAACATGCCCCTTTCAATTAGTGATTCAATTACACAGAATCAGCAGCATGCATGTCATGACTGTTGGGTCTGTTGGATTTCTATTACTCTACTACACCTGCTAGTAAATTATTTGCCATACAGAAATATAATTTCTACCAAAAACAGTGATTGATCAGGTTAGTGATGTCTGACTGCTATTATTTTGAACACAACTGTATATGTTTTTTTTTTTTTTGGGGGGGGGGGGGGGCTATGCAATCTTCAGGCCTAAAGTTATTTTTTTAAATGTGTGCAAAAACAACATAAAAAGAGCTCTGGCAGCAAAAGGGAAAGAGGAGAAGTTCACCTTTGGGAACATATTACATGTTCCACCCTAGGCAACACAAGGAACAGAGAGAGAGAATCATATATATACACACACACACACTCTCTCTCTCCCCCTCCTCCTCTCTCCCCCCCCCCCTCTCTCTCTCCCATTCCCTCTCCCAGATCAGATAGGACTGCACACACACAATGTATGATTACCCCCCCCCCCCCAATCCAAGGGCTGCTGATCTCCCCTTCCCTCTATCTCTCTCTCCCCTTCCCGCTCTCTCTCTCAGATTGTATTGGACTGCACTCACACACAATGTATGATTCCTCCCCCCCCCCACACACACACACACACGCACACGCAATTCAAGGGTTGCTGACCACCAGGCAGCGGGAAATGTGGGCAGGGGGTGGTAATCATAATGTGTGTGTGCAGTCCCATATGATCTGTCATGATCATGGAGCTCAGCGGAGAGCGGCCACTCAGGAACACCAGGGCACCCCCTCCATCCGGCCAGGTCTGTCTCTACCTCCAGCAGCAAAAAGAGAGGAGGAGAAACCTCAAACTGGCTTTCAGTTGCTGGAGGGAGAGATACACAGTGCATCCTTCTGCAACTGCTCTCCCCCACCACACCGATCCTCCTGCTGTCTGGGCCACCTACAGGAGTACTGGTGGTACCCCTCAGATGATGGCCCTGCATGGCTCTGTCCGCCACTGCTCACCAGGTCCCTGCTTCTGGGGGGCAGTGCTGCCCCCCTAAAAATTGCTGCCCTAGGCAAATGCCTTGTTTGCCTCGCAGTAGAAATGTCCCTGACTACCGTCTCTTACCCTGTACCAGTTTTCTCTCACTTTCTGTCTGTCAAAACCATTGTCAGCAGGACAGAAAGTGAGAGGAAATCTCTCTAATGGAGCCCTGGATAGCAGCAAAAATCCAAATAGGTGTTCAACTCCTTCCTTACTCTATATAAAAAAGCAGAAAAAAAAATTGTCTGGAAATACACTGGAAATTGTTTAAATTTTTATATAAAAAAAAAATGTACTTAGAAATACAAAAATAAAAAAAGTAAACTAGAAAAACAAAAAACAAAGTTAGTAGGGAGTCTAAGTATTTATAATGAAGGATTACCCATAACCAACTCATTATTTTCAGTAACACAAGAAATGCCAACCCTTCCACAGTAAAACTCACCACTTCAGGATATTCTTGTTTTTGTTGAGATCCTCAGCCTGGTCCCCAAGCAAATCCAGCACTGCCCCTGCTGCTGCCTGTTCAAAGCTGCTGCCTCCAATACTCAGTCTATATTAAAACAGAGAATAAAAATACAATAATTTAAGTGTATAAAAATACAGTAACCCTAAAAAAACAAAAAAAATGAAAACGAAACCAAATGAAGCAGTAAATATAATCACAGACCTGTGCAATTCATACCATGTAAAATCCGAAAAGTGCGTAAACACCTTGATTGGGCCAGGTTTGTGACAGCATTACTTTAACTGCAGCCAACATATGTACAACTCAACTTCAACTATTTAGGCCATTGAAAACATTTTTCTTAAGCCTTGCTTAACTTGAAATAAGCAGACCAAGCCAAGCCTTCCTGGGGAGAATTGTCAGAACTAAGACTCACTGCCTTACAACGAACAAAAAAAAAAAAAAAAAGTGGCAAAACCGTGGAACATACTTCTATCCACTGAAATAATGGGAGGGCGCTCTCCACTGTCCTGGTAGAATCCTGGAAATTGAGTTACCAGGTAATGAACGGTGCTTTACCCAATCTTCTTCCAGAACAGCACATGAAAAGGATACATGAGAAATCATTTCCTTTCCAGGTCAAATGTTTTTTACTCATAAGAATAAAGTAGATCAGGAAAAATACCTCACAATTACCACTAAATGGTTCGAATTACAGGAAATAAATGCTTAATTCCTACGATCACCAGCTCAATGCAGTGGCCAAAATGTGGTATTTTCTAAACCACTTTATTTTTATGGATATAAAACACTGGAGAGGAAATGATTTGCTACCATTCCTTTTTGCCCCCATTCACACACAAACCTGGAGAGAAAACAGTTTAAAACAATTGGTTTCTGCCCCCATTGGCACACAACAAATGTACATACAGTTGCACAAACACTGGTATCCAACAAGAGGACCCCCTTCAACTCCTAGACCTGAACATAACCAAAAGGTCTTGTCTGGAACAGAAGCAAAATATGAGTCACATAAATAGGTAATATTTTTTAAATGCACACAAACTTGAATCCCCTAATACACTTGGGTGGGAGATGGTCACAGCCTCCAAGCTTCTAAAATCTTAGCAAACCCAGACCTAGTGGTAAATTAAAACTGCTCACACCCAAAGAAGAAGTGGCAAACATTTAACCCTGGAGGCTATAACCAGTGCAATCAGAAGTCAAAACACTTTCATGTGATAATGAACACTTTTAAAAAAACACGAACATTGGCTGTTAGATTTGTGTACCATTGTATATCCTCCCGCACATGTTATGGTTTGGACTCCTGTAAGGCCTTTGATAGTGTTGAATGGCAATGTCTATTCCATATACTGCAACTTTATGGCTTTGGACCCCTATATGATAGCTTGGATACATCTCCTCAATACTAACCCTGCAGTCAGAATTAGAGTAAACTCCCATATTAATGATGCCTTCTTGATACATCGAGGCACTCAACAGGGGTGCCCCCTGTCCTCCCTTTTATTTACCCTGGCAATAGAGCCTCTTGCCATTCGTATCCACTACTCCCTTACTTTTCAAGGTCTTCCATTAGTACAACAGAGGAGCACATTTCCCTCTATGCAAAAAACACATTGGTTAAATTATCTGACCCCCATGACTCCTTGTACTCTCTACTACAAGAAATTACTACATTTGGTGATTATTCTTGCTTCCAGGTGAATTGGGATAAATCTGGTAAATCTGGCTTATTCCCCTTGGACCAGGCAGCAACATCTATGATTTACCGAGTCCAGATTGCAAGTTGTAACCCTGTTTAGGTAACTGGGTGTCAAGGATCAATTACCATTATCTTTATATATTGTCAACAATGTTTGTCTGTTGATATCCCAGCTGCAACTATGCATAGACCTACCACTGGATTTAATGGGCAGGGTCAATATTCTTAAAATTATCTTCCTAAACTGTTGTATGTTCTAGCCAATTCCCCTTGTAAAATACCCAAATCAATCTTCAAACAAATTGATACTATTTGCACAGCATTTTTCTGGCAAAGTCACCCTCCTATAATAGCGCTGGAGGTGCTGAGGTTGCCAACCCATTTAGCGAGTGTTGCCTACCTTAAGTTTTTATTTGTAGGATTCATAATTAGATGTATCCCACCTCAGCTAATGCCTGTACTACCACTGAAGCAGCAATTGCTTTATCGTTGGAGACCCTTTATAATATTATTTACAGGCATCGAGTGCCCACAGGTATTACAATGTTAAACAATTCCTTCTTGTTTTGCACAGTGGTAACCCGTGTATATAATGCATCTTGGTGGATATCTCCCAATAACCCTCTGTGGTTTAATCCTACACTGCATGAGCTATATTCTTTATCCAACCTCAAACGGTGTCTTCTCGAGAGGTTAAGCATTTATGACATCTTTTTATTGTGCAAAGGCTTCAAAGCATATAACCAAAGATCTTTTGGCTATACTTCTGTGGATCACAGGAGTGCAGTTCGTTCTGTACTCCTGTGACCCATTTTCAGCTGGCAGTGGGCTGAAGCCCTCTATCAGCTGACGTCACTCAGCCTGTCCAGGTTGGGGAAAGATCCCGATTTCAAAGTTAGGATCCACCCCAGAGTCTGGAGCGGCACCTGGCTCAGCTTCTCAGTAAGCCGCTGAGAGCCCAAGCCAGCCGCTTCCTCTCCCTCCACAGTCCAGTGCTCTGCTCACAGCGATCAGTTGGGCATATGAACGTGTTCTCACCCTTAGAGCCGGTAGGGGACAGATGCAGCATTGGACCAATGCTGCATCAACTTAGGCAAGTACAATCTGGGGGGTGGGGGAAGAAGCCAAACTTCTCTGTTAAGTTCTTTCAAAAGTTACAGGCAGACTAATTTGCCATCCAATTACTTATTTTACTAATATCAACTTAGCCATGCAGTACGTGTACAATTTGGGTCACTGGATAACCCCATACAAGTGCCACCCTTAGAAAAAAAAAAATGCTAAGATGACCTGATCCTACCAAGCTTATTTCTACCAACTTCTCTGTCCTTGTGACAGATTCCAATCCCAGGTTCCAAACTGCTCAGGTAAGATGGGCCTCATTGGATATACCATTTACAGACACAGAATAGTCTGAATTTAGTGGCACCTACAAAAATTCTTTTATTTCTTCCAAGGATAGAATTATAGAACAAAGTTTTTCATCATTCTCACCTCCAACAACCCTAGTACTGCCAGGCGGAAGTGCTAACCATTTAGCCAATGTGCTGCCTCGTTATGTATGTATATAGGAGCCTCCTGCTAGATTACATAAAATGGGTTTACGACCCTCAGCAGACAGTTTCAGAAGTTTTGCTCAGCTTGCTGATTTCCCACATTGCCTTTGGACCTGCCCGATAGTCCAGGGATTTTGGGAGGAAGTAGGCTCCTTTATTTCTTCTATGCTGTGCTTACCTAATATTTTACTTCCCAAAAACTGTCTCCTGGGAATCTTTGGAGACCTGGAACTTTCTCAATATGCCAAAAGATTATTTTGCATATTATAATTTTTTTCTAAGAAAAAACTTTTATTGTCCTGGAAAGCGTCGGTTTTATCTACACTGGCCTACTGGCTTAAACTTGTTAATAACAATCTCCCCTTGTATAAACTCACTTTCAAGGTTAGGAAAAACCCCAAAGTGTTCATTAAAATATTGGGCAGGTAGCTTTCTAATCCCCTTACTTTGACCTCTGAATCCAAAATACTAGTGTGGTCTTTCCATGATTATGAATAATGTATGCTTTATTGTGGAGTACATAACTTCTGCTCGTTATGTACTAAGTGATTTCTACATTTGCAAGTTAATGAGACATGTGAGAAACTAAAGTGGCTTGCTTGTTTATGGTTTTTCTTTTGGATTGTGTGTATTGGGTTTCTCTTTGTTTACCTTTTTGCTAAAAAAAGGGATCTTAAACATGATGGCACTTTGACCAAATGGCACTTTGACAGTGTTTCTTTTGAGGTAATAAAAATGATTAAAGACATAAAAAATGCCGAGCAATATTTCTATTCAATATTTGGCAACGAAAGTTCACTTTGTGTATGTCTAACGTTAGTCTGCATGCAGTTATGCTCCTTACCCTTTTTCACTATCAAAGTCCTTCGGTCTGTATGGGATGTAATATTCTGCATCCTGAGTAGGTCCAGCTTTCTTTTTCTTCCTGCTGCTTTCAGTGTCTATTTTATCTGGACGCTTTCTTTTGCCAAGCACTTGTGAGAAGACTCCCTGGTAAATTTATATAAACCATCAGAGCAGATATTTAAAGGCAGAGACCCATGTAAGATTCTGTAGCTACAGTTACCTCCATATTTTCTTCAGAAATGTCTTGGCTGGCTGGCTGATCAGGTTTAACACTGGCTGGGGACTGTGTTGTACTATTTGCTTTCTCTTCCTGCAAACGCTGGAATTTGGAGATTACTTTGCAATCTTGATTTCTCTTGGCACGCATTACTTCACTGGCAGGTGTCTTATTAGTGGCATTTATCTCAAAGATTGTCTATGGACACATGGAAAATTAGAACAGTAATTGCAAAAGATCTTATAAAACAAGATTAGAGCACTTATTTAAATCCTTTAGCATAATTGAATCTCCCATTGCTGTGGCAATGCAACTCCTTTCAAAGGATTTCTGAGGCCAGACCTCCACTGCCTTAGAAAAAGACAAAAAAAACCAAGCGGCTCCTAGTGTTCAAGCAGCCTGGGAAGGGAGGTGCAGGCTCTGCCTTTGCTGATTCTAACAAGGGTTCAACTTAGATCTGTAATTTGCATTTCTGAGAAAGTGGTAAAGCATTTTAGGCTGTGCAAGTCACTTGAATTTTATTTTACAGTCATTTTTTAATCCCTTTACTAATGAACATAAACATAAAAAAGTCTTCTGAAGACAAGAACAGAAAACCACACCAAAACAGAAAAATCTACAAATAGAACGTAGGCAAGATATATGGTAGCTGTCACTGCCTTGTTTTTGAAAGGGTGGACACTTCATTCTCCACCCTGATCTTTGGTTCTCTACATGACAAGTCAATGATGTATGTGCATTAGAGGTGGGGGGAAACCTGATAAGTACATGATCTGATACACTCACTCTAGGTTGTGATTCACTAAACAATAAAGAACAAAGAAAGCCCCAGTACCTAGATCATTAAAACTAGGTCACCAATAACAACTAATAAATTTGTCTCTTGACTGATCCCTTTTAAAACTCAGGTAAGGGCAAAACTGTTAAAGTATAATATAACTAACCGCTTTTGATTTATACGATTTAATGCTGTCCACAAACTTCAGTCTCTGAATTTCTTCCCCACCAAGGCGAGACCTGAAAATGAACAAATATTAGGCAAAGAAGAATTAGATAAGGATAAAATTTAGAGATGGAAAAGTAAGAAAGAAATAAGACATACAATGGGACCAAGTACACATGTCTGACAGGTAAATAGATATGAAGGGACAAGGACAACATGAAGGTCACTCACAAAACAAGGGATGTACTCCCAACTGATTGTAACTGGCCTCTTTGACACGTTTCACAGACTCTGGAGCTGGGGCTGGTCTGGATTTGCTGTACTGTTTGTAAGCATTCTCAGAGATGCGATGCAGGTTCTGCAGTTCTAAAGACCGCTCATGATCTGTGATCAGCAGAGCATCTTCATCATCTATCAAACTTTGGGGGACTCGTCCTAGAGCTCCATCCGCTTCTTGATCTGTAAAAAGAAAGACCACATGAAGGGACCCACAACTTTTTCTTTTAGGCTTTTAGGATTATCGCTACCAAGACTTTACAATCCACCTGAATCAGTCTGTGGGTCTCCTGCCAGTTTCAAGGGTCTTCCTAGAAAGAGGTGGAGATCATACACATAAGGTGTTTCATCATGAGCTACCAGAGAATAAGCTGTGCCACTCCGACCTGCTCTAGCCACGCGACCTGGTTAACGAAGAAAGCAATGCATGAGATTACCACAAAAATAAGACAAGACATTAATAGTTCCTAAAGTATTCATCAGCAGATCCAGTTACATCCTTACCTACACGGTGCAGGAAAAGTTTGGCTTTTGGAGGGAAGTTATAATTGATGACATTGTCAAGCATAGGTATATCAATACCGCGAGCTGCTACATCTGTGACCAATAAAGAACGTACTTTTCCATGCAGAAACAAACCCAGGTTAATCTTTCTGGCAGTCTGATCAAGAGAACTGTATATATGGGAACACGGGATACCTTGCATATCCAGCATCTAGGTGGCAAAAAAGGGAAGAGATGCCTTACATATAGGTAAACAGTGTCAAGAAGATTTTCAACGGGAAGAATAAAAACATTCAGCTAAAACAGTTCTTCAAAGTTCAACGAGAACCTAGCAGCTATATCCCTAAGCCCTAGTTCACACAGAATGTAACTTTGAAATTGCGGTACTTCACTTGAGATAGCATGATTTCAAAGCCGCAAGTCAGAGGGATTTCAGGTGTGACATCTATGTGACTTCATGTACACATTACAAATCATAAGATGTGGGGGATGCATTAGTTTTCCTTTTAGTTTTTTTTCCCTCTATTTTCACCTGGTGATCTGGACAGTAACACATCTCCTGTATTACAGTGCTTGCACTGTGGTTGAAGGAACACAAAGGGCACAACAAAGAGAAGCACTGTCAGTATGGGGGGAGAGGGGTGTCAGATTTAAATGTAGATTTAGATACACTAACAAAAACAGAAGCAAAACTCCAGCTCATACTTACAGCAACTGGTTTTTTTTCTTTTGGAATAAAAGTCTTACATAAATAAAAGCCGACTATTGTAAGTGTCCCTCTCTGTGGCAAAAGGTCTGGGCTAACACTCTTAATGTGGAAGTAAACCCACTTTGTATATTTTTACCTACAGGTAAGCTTATAATAAAGCATACCCGTGCCGTTCCTTGAGAACACTGTGCTGTATCCCGAGACTCCCGTTCGCATGCGCGAGAGTGACGTCATCGTGGCCCAGCCAGTCAGATGACTGGAGCTTGTGAACCCGGAAGGAAGACTGGGTGAAGATGGATATAGCGGTGAGCTGCTGGAAGGCTTTGTTTTAAGATAAGCTTTACATAATATGTGCTAGCATGTGATGCATACTAGCACATTATATCTGTACCTTGCAGGGTATTTTTTTTTTAATGGAGGGGGTTTACTACTGCTTTAACTGATAAATTTGCAGGACAGCTTGATCTGTTGAAAAACAGACAGACATACTGTCCAGATCACCAGGTAAAAACATAAAAAAATTAAAAAAAAAAGAAAAGTAATGCAGCTATCACCTCTAAGAACTGATAAGCTGAAGTATAATACATGTTTGCTTCTGAGTTTAATACCATGTTGGTGTTTTTTTTTTTTTTTTATAAAAGAGGACCCATTTGACTTTAATGGTGCAACCTCTGTTTCCATCTATCATTGTCCATATGTTTAATCCCACCCCATTAAAAGTAGACAATGCTTGCATGAACATGTCATGTTAGATGTCATTTGTTTGAAAATTAAAAACAAAAAAAAATTTTCTACACTAGGATCTATATAAATTAGATATAAATTAGATATAAGCCACTCCAAACTTAACATATGCAACATACAGATGGACTTCCAGCCACCCCATGCCTTCATACAGAACATTCTAAGTTCTAGGCACAAGGTAGGGATCTATGTTGGCTGCAATCTGATATGTTTAAAAACAGAGTGGGACAAATTGACTAGGTTAATAATAAATTAAAAGAACTTGCATATGCTAGCTATAGTAGGGGCCAGTTGATGAATGCACATAAAGTACAAATGTATAATATTAGGCATTCTTTAATGCATTTACAAGCTTAATATAGTCTCCATTCATTTTTACATTAGATATATCCCCGCACCTCTGTAAGTCATACACTTGGCTATACATGCATCTGTTTTTGCTCTGACCTCTTTCAGATACTCAGCATGGTGTTTGGTGGCCACAAAGATGACCGTTTGTTCCTGAGGTTTCACAATGCAGCGCAATAGATGTAGAAGCACAGCAGGTTTATCTTCTGCCCTCACATGAAAAAAATGCCAGCTTGGGTTGGAGGAAAAAAAAAAAAAAGTATCAGTATCAGTTCTAGCAGAAATGAAAGGCTACCTACACGTCATTCCATCGTTTTACCTTTAATTGATCACTCAGCTTTGTATCAACATCCAGACGGATTAGCACAGGTTCAGTAAGACCTATGGTGGGGGGGGAACAAAACAAAACAAAAAAAAAATATTTTATTACACCACTTTCTACCATGGTAACAGTAAAATCCTTTTATTGGAGAACAGAATAGTTTTATAATGTTTATGATGCTTGACATTAACTTTGCTGCTCTCTCCTATGGACGATACTGCTCTGGACATAAAATACTTAACCAGTTTTTAGCCAAGGCATAGAGATGCAAAACTTTAAAAGGACTTATCTTCCTGTGTTTTCTGGCTATTTTCAGAGCTACAATTTTTCAAAGGACTCAATCCACTGAGAGTGGGAAATGGGGTGTCCATCCTCTTATGTATAATCTTTGGACTGCTTTCCTAAGTTAGGTGTGTAGCTCAGATGGGAAAGCAACATACTCAAAAATCCAACCAGCTATAGACTAGGCTTATGCTGTACGTTACAGATCTCCTGTGTCCCTAGATGAACGACCAATGTTTTTGTCTTAGGGCAGTGGATGTAGCAATTTTACCTGCACGGGCAAATTCTAGCAGCATCTTGGGAAGAGTGGCTGAGAAAAGCAAGGTTTGGCGATTTTCTGGAAGACGGGCGAGGATCTCCTGAAGCTGCTCGGCAAACCCCATTTCAAAAAGTCTATGACAAGCATAAAGAAAACACAGTGAGCAACTGACATGGAGTACAGGTTAACCTCAGTATACAAAAAGCTACTTACCTGTCTGCTTCATCAAAAACTACATACTCCACACTGCGTAACTTCAGATTCATCTCTACTGCCACGTGCATCAGACGGCCAGGGGTAGCAATGATTCTAAATAAAAAACATATTTTAGGCATTCAACAATCACGTACAAGCACAATCAGTCTTCAGTGGTGTTTGAGGAACAGAAGACCTAAAGAATGACAAAAATTACTCACATATCAGGATTTTCATGTAGAGCAGCAAACTGATCTTCCATCCTACAGGCAAAGATACAATGATATACTGTTAAGTGTACCGCAGAAGGAGGACATTATGAATACGTTTGAAGCAGGCCATAGAAAAGTTGAAAAAAGAAAGGTTCTGTCAATCGAAAAAAGAAAATAGCTCATATGGTTGTACCATCAATTGTTTCGGTCGTCTAAAAAAAAAAAAACCCAGCATGTTGGATGAGGCACTTTCGATTGCGACATGAAAATCGCATTTCGCAGCTGGCACACTAATGATCCAAAACGCAGATTTGACGATCGACACAAATTTTGTTAGTTTTTCGACTCATCAATGGACTGCTTAAGTCAGAGGGGTGTGACTGATGGGCTGGTCTCTTAGCTGAAAGCCTCTCTGTCATTTACCTTAAACCGGAGTTGTATACGTATGCGGCAGAAACTGCATGCCATATTATATGTGGTCAGTGTGCTCTATCTGTGCCAGCACCTGAATAAAGAGTGTAAAACTGGGAGACGGATACTGCAGGCTTAGAATGACACCAATCTGTATTGGTATTTGACAATACGCCTGCTGTTACATTTGTTCACCTGAAAGCCCTCCTGTGTTCCTTTAAACAGTTTCACTATGTTACTAGAGGCCTGATTTTCCTGCATTCAGAACCAAGCCCCACCAACTGCCCCCTCCAATATGATCTGAGTGTAACTCAGTTGGCCAACAATGGCTTTCATTTGGCAGAGCTTAATTCTGATGTTAAGCTACTAATAATGTAAGATTAGTAAAGCTGCTAATAATGTAAAACTAGTTTAAAAGAGGCACATAGACAAGGGTTTTCTGATACAATGTGATATCGGCTTTTTAGCTGAACCTTTACTTTGACCTTTTTGCTGCCAGAGCAGTTTCTTTTTTTCATCTTTTGCACACATGCTGAAATCAAATAGGTCTGAATATTACTTAAAACCCACAAAATATTATAGATTTTCTGAAAGCAGGAACCCTGTAGAAATAAATTTTGGCAGTTATCAAATGCAAAATTACAGTACAAGTTACACTCAAATTAATTTTAGTGCCCACAAACACGATAAAACACGGAAAAAAAAAAAATTATATATATATATATATATATATATATATATATATATATATATATATATATATATATACAGTTGTGTCCAAAATTATTCAACCCCCAATGCTGTAAGGGGTTTAGGGACTATAGTGTACATTTGGAATTGTATTCAGAATCAAATCCTACAAGGACGTTGTAACTACCCAAATGCAACTAAAATGACATCAATTGTTTATGTAATACAGTAGTAAATGGTTCTTATGTGGTTTCTTCATTGCCACAATTATTCAACCCCTTAAAGACTACCACTCTGAAGAACAGAGGTTCATACAGGTGCTTTCCATCAGGTATTGAAAACACCTGTGGATGTCACCGAGCAGCAATCAAGCATAATAAGCACCAATTAGGCAGCTTTAAAATGACTGTGATACTCAGCTCCTTCTAGACATTTACTGGTGTGGTTACAAACATGGTGAAGGCAAGAGAATGGTCCAGGAAGACAAGAGAAGAGGTGATTTCTCTTCACAGGAAGGGCAATGGCTATAAGAAGATTGCAAAGATGTTAAACATACCAAGAGACACCTTAGGAAGCATCATTCGCAAATTCAAGGCAAAGGGCACTGTTGAAACGCTACCTGGTCGTGGCAGAAAGAAGATGCTGACTTCGACTGCTGTGCGCTACCTGAAGCGTAGAGTGGAGAGAAGTCCCCGTGTGACTGCTGAGGAACTGAGAAAAGATTTGTCAGATGTGGGTACAGAAGTTTCAGCCCAGACAATAAGACGCACACTGCGTAATGAAGGCCTCCGTGCCAGAACTCCCAGGCGTACCCCCTTGCTGTCTCCAAAGAATAAGAAGAGTCGACTGCAGTATGCCAAAAGCCATGTGGACAAACCACAAAAGTTGTGGGATAGTGTTCTGTGGACTGATGAAACAAAATTAGAACTGTTTGGGCCCATGGATCAACGCTATGTTTGGAGGAGGAAGAACAAGGCCTATGATGAAAAGAACACCTTGCCTACTGTGAAGCATGGTGGAGGGTCAATCATGCTTTGGGGCTGTTTTGCTTCTGCAGGTACAGGGAAGCTTCAGCGTGTGCAAGGTACCATGAATTCTCTTCAGTACCTGGAGATATTGGATGGAAACGTGATGCAGTCCGTCACACACCTGAGGCTTGGGAGACGTTGGACCTTTCAACAGGACAATGATCCCAAGCATACCTCCAAGTCCACTAGAGCATGGTTGCAGAGGAAAGGCTGGAACATTTTGGAGTGGCCATCGCAGTCACCAGACTTAAATCCGATTGAGAACCTCTGGTGGGACTTAAAGAAAGCAGTTGCAGTGCGCAAGCCTAAGAATGTGACTGAACTGGAGGCCTTTGCCCATGAAGAATGGGCGAAGATACCCGTAGATCGCTGCAAGACACTTGTGTCAAGCTATGCTTCACGTTTAAAAGCTGTTATAACTGTAAAAGGATGCTGTACTAAGTACTAAGATTGAATGTCACTTGGGGGTTGAATAAAACTGATAATGCTGTGAGCACAGAAAAGACATTTGTGGTTATTTCATTATAACTGTTATGTTATATTTGTCTGACCTACAAGTGCCTCTTTAATGTAAATGTAAGCAAGATGACTGAATGATCAAAAGCAATCAAACTGGCCAAAACACTCAATTTCAGTGGGGGTTGAATAATTTTGGCCACAACTGTATATATATATATATATATATATATATATATATATATATATATAAAAAATGAAAAACATAAAAGATGTACCAAGTAAGTAGATACTAAACATGCCCAGTCTCCAAACTGCGCATACCCATGAAACTATGGTACTCATAATTGTCCACAGGCCATGCTGTAAAAGCTTTTATGCGCATCAATTTAGAGTTAACAGTGAATCATGGCCCTAGAATTATTGCTCCTCACACTGGCATACTGGGTGATAACTAACATGCGTGTCCCAATTGTTGATTTTGTACACAAGCGGTTTTGAGAAACGTGCCTATATGTGCATGTACAGGAGGGTTTCATTTTAATTTTTTTTTTTAATTATACTTAAAGTGGAACTATAATCTGCAACATTTATCCTTGCTACAACACTGTGGATGACTGCAAGGTCCCTGATACTTCACCTCTGGCTTCTTCCAAGTGTTGGCCTTCGACCATTTTGACTGGCCGGCTCATGCCAGAATGCACACTGAGCTGCACATGAAACATTCAACAAATGTTTGCCGATTGTCCCCCACTTCTCCTGCTATGGAGTTCCTATGTACCCAGGTGGGGGGCATTGGAGAACAGGATACTAGAGTGGGACTTAGGTCCAGCACATACCAGAGCCTGAAGAAGTAACCAAGCAGTTTTACAGCAATCTGAATAGTTTGTATAGGACAGCCAACTGCAGGAAAAGGTTAAAAAGTGTCTTCTTCCATTTATTAAGAAATCTGCAAAACTTACTTGTCCCCACCCAAAATAAGAGCAGTCTTCAAACCAGTAAATTTTCCAATCTGTAAGAGAAGACCATTATTAATTTTACTATTATAAATTGGAAATAGAAAAATGTTCACAACAGTGAAGAGGTGACAGAATGAGCAAGTAAGAACAGTTAAAAAAAAAATAAAGTAATCACAACTTGTACCTCTTTGGTGAACTTCAGAGTCTGCAGGGCAAGTTCTCTGGTAGGTGATAAAATAAGGCCACGGACTCCAGTTTGTGCACTGTGAGCCTTCAGCTTCTCATACATCGGGATGAGGAAACAAGCAGTTTTACCACTGCCCGTTCGTGCCATAGCTACCACATCCTTGCCATCCAGAATGACAGGTATTACCTAGTAGAAAATAGAGACATTACATCTCTGCTGAGATACAAGTCTGGTACAGAAACCTACATGCCATAATGTATTCTAAGAAGCTACAGTGGGGAAGCCCTCTTGTTGGTGGGACTTGTAAGGCATACATTAGACAAAACGTTTTCTAACAAATGACAATTTACAAGAGTATTTTATTTATACAATCTTAGAAGAGGCATATAGTTACAACGTATGGCGGTATCACCAGATGTGATTATACAATGAATAGGCAGAGATGAGTCATGCATGTATATGCACTTGACACGTTTCGAGACCAATCATAATCTCTTCTTTAGCAGTGCTCAGAAAACATGAGGCCTATTATAAACATATCAATATATAGATCAGATCTTACATGGATACAACAGACAATATAATTACATTCATAATTATACACTTACATGTCCCCATTCAGGGGTGAAGAATATAGAAAAGACTGCCAATGAGTTAAAACCATTAATTAAGTGAATGTAGCCAGTGATTCCATAATCCTCTCACAACAGAAATGGAAAGAGAGAAACATGGAGAAACAACCGCCGCTCTGTTTGTCTCCTGGAGGGGCCCCGCCACAATCACCAAAAGGCGACCAAAAAAGGTTGCCTGATCGCCAGTATTGTTGCAGATGATACTGTATGAGTATACAATGAGATATGAATAAATTGTGATAATACATATAAACCAAAGAATCGATAGAGCCAGGAGGATTGGAAAAAGGGGAGCATTTACTGATGGTGCAAAAATTGGCAAGGAGCTCTTAAAGTGAGTAAATGATGATTTGACATCCAAATCCCATAGGGAAAAGACCTTTCTGGTATTAAATGCCTATAACAAATACAGGTGATAGTATCCAAGAAAGGGGCATATAAAGCCACTGATGTGGTAAAGAATTTCAAACAATTGTCCAAAAAAAAAAAAAAAAAAAAAAAAAAAAAAGTATATATATAAGCGATATAAAGACTCTCAAAATGGTGTTTTTGCTTTTTTTCTCACTGCTCCTGTGTCTCCCCAGCGCACGGGGGCCTCGACTCCTGTTTTTGGGGTTGCTGGCCTTTAGGACCAGGATCTTGGGCGGCACGGATGTTCCACCAGAGAGAGGCTTGGCCTGCACTCTCCTCGGCCGCTTCTCTCCCTGGAATATGTTTCTCGTGATGTCATCACGCCATCGGCGGGGTGACGCCGCGCAGCTGAGGAGGGGTTGTTGCGGCCGGTCTGAGTGCCGAAAGGCCTGTGCTGACCCACTCTAGTTTTTCAGATGTTGACTTGGAGTATTTTCAAAGCCTTTCTGGGGGTATAAAGACACCATTTTTGAGAGTCTTTATATTGCTTATGCAGCCACGATACCTTGCTTCAGCAGACCTGGTACTGCTGTGCCTATATATATTTTTTTTTTGGGGACAATTGTTTGAAATTCTTTTACCACATCAGTGGCTTTATATGCCCCTTTCTTAGATACTATCATCTGTATTTGTTATAGGCATATAATACCAGAAAGATCTTTTCCCTATGGGATTTGGATGTCAAGTCATCATTTATTTTTTTTCACTTTAAGTGCTCCTTGCCACTTTTGCACCCCCGTTAAATGCTCCCTTTTTCCAATCATCCTGGTTATGTCGATTCTTTGAGATAATAGATCACAATTTATTCATATCTCATTGTTTACTCATACAGTATCATCTGCAACAATATTGGTGATCAGGCAACCCTTTTTGGTTGTCTTTTGGTGGTTGTGGCAGGGCTCCTCCAGGAGACAAACGGAGCGGCAGTTGTTTCTTCTTGTTTCTCTCTCTTTCCACTTCGGTCATCAGAGGATTATGGACTCATTGGCTACATTCACTTAATTAATAGTTTTAACTCATTGGCAGTCTTTTCTATACTCTTTGCCCCTGAATGGGGCCATGTAAGTGTATAATTATGAATGTAATTATATTGTCTATTGTATCCATGTACGATCTGAGATACATATTGATATGTTTATTATAGGCGTCATGTTTTCTGAGCACGTCTGAAGGAGATTATGATTGGTCTTGAAACGCGTCAAATGCGAATACATGCATGACTCATCTCTGTCTATTCACTGTATAATCACGTCTGGTGACACCGCCATACTTTGTAACTATATGCCTCTTCTAAGATTGTAGAAATAAAATACGGTTCTCTCTAAATTGTCATTTGTTAGAAAATTTTTGTCTAATGTGTACCTTAAAAGTCCCACCAACAAGAGGGCTCCCCCAATGTATTTTCTAGGGGCAATGGCACTTCTTGTATCACACCCATTCCTTTCTTGTATTCTAAGAAGCTAAGACTCTAATAGCCTCACCTTTCTTTGAATTGGAGTTGGAACCTTGTACCCTTTCTTCATTACACCCTTAAAGACAGGGTAACTAAGACCTGGTGAGCAAATGTAAAGGAAATGTCAAAAAACAAAGATTTTCTACAAAGTTAAAATCCACAGTAATATTTTTCATTTACGACAACTTAAATGGCAAACATTTTTTCTCTGGTATAATAATATAAGTGGGTATGATTAAAATGGCATGAGATAGTATGCTCTGAGGATGGGGGAATTGTAACAAATGGTAACATTGTAAGTCATATGAAGGTGAACACCGCTGCATGTATATTTAAAAAACACACACTGCTACCCCATTCAATAGTTATAATAAAGGTCTTTTGTTTAATCAGATACAACGTAGAGGTTATTCATTGTTCCACTTAGTTACATTCTGTTTTCTTTTCCTAACACAACAGACAAAAAAAAAAAAAAAAACACCATACCCATTGACTGAAATCCTCCTGACTTCTTTTTCTTTTTGTTCTGTGCTCGGACCAGTTGTCTAGTGTCCAATTCTGTATCAGAACCAACATCTGCAGTAGGGAACGATGGGAGGTGCTTTATGGGGGGTGGAAACAAAAGACAAAAAAAACAAAAACATTACATTGAAATGATTTTACTTTTGTTTATATTATCTCTTAAAGTGTTACTAAACCCAAAACAGTAAAATCAGTCTGTATATGCAGTAAAGCATGCCTGTTATACTCACTGTGGAACCTAAGGGGTTAATCCTGTGAATTGTGTAAAAAGGCTGTTTGATCCTTTCTTCTCTGTTCCACCCCTTTTTTCTAGCGACCACCACTTATCTCCAGACTGAACGGTAGGCCTGCACATGCTCAGTTTGGTGTATATTGCTAGAGAACATTTTTTTTTTTTTGGAAGAGTGCATGTGATCAGCATGGGGCTAATCAGCACTGTCCAGACAGAAGTCAGGGGATTTCCATCTTCCTAGAGCAGAAAGAAAACTCCTACAAGCTTTAGCTAGTGCTGGGCTGAACACTGATAGAAGTCACAAGACTGCTATATACTGCTGATGAGAAAAGATATATAGCAGTTTATATTTACTAAAATAATTGCATTTCCATGTTCTGTGTACTGCAGGAGACCAGATATAGCAGATGCAGGGTCCTGGGTTTAGTAACACTTACGTTTGAATATCAAAATAAAACTGTGACTTAAATAAACATTACTAGAACATCTCTAGAGACTAAAGACAACAGCTTAAAAAAATTTTAACCCCGCCTGTCAGTGATCCAACATTGAAGCTAAGTTCACAATTGGGATGTCTCTGAAAAGTGTTCTGAGGTGGATCTCATTTCAGAGGGCGGCTAAGCAGTTGCTTTCAAGCGTTCAGGAGGTGATTCTGCAGCCTTCTGCATGCCTGTTCTTTTTTTCTTTTGCTGAACAGCAATTTTTCTGTTTCAATGTTTTATTGAAGGTTAACATATAAATAGGCAACAATACAGCCATAAGCCTTTGATGGTAACTGCAAAAAGAGCTTGCAATGCAGGTGAGACACAAACAGAGAAAGCATACATTGACAACGTTTATGGTAGGTGCAGCAAACCCAGATATGAAAGTTTACCCCCCCAGAGAAAATCAAGAGCAGGAACAAGGGAATGTGTACACTAACTCCACGGGTGCAGCTCAAGTAAACCAGAGCCTGATATCTGATCACAAAAAGGGAACAGGTGTTACTCGGCCTTTAAAGTGTTACTAAACCCACAATAGTAAAATCAGTCTGTATATGCAGTAAAGCATGCTTGATATACTATGGAACCGAAGGGCTTAAACCTCTGCATTGTAAAAAAATGAAGTTTGATCCTGAGTTCTCTGATCCTCCCCTTCTTCCAGTGTCCCCCTCTTATCTCCTGATAAGACATATCATGTGGAGACACTCTGCACTTGCTCAGTTTGGTGTGACTTGCTAGAGAGCTTTTTTTTTTCCTTGGAAGAGTGCTTGTGATCAGCACAAGACCAATCAGCACCGTCCAGACAGAGGTCAGGGGTTCTGCACCATCCTAGAGCAGAAAGAAAACTCCTCCTACAAGCTTTAACGACTGCTCTGCTCTGCTTAACACTGATAGAAGTCACAAGACTGCTCTAACTGCTGATGAGAAAAGGTATTTAGCAGTTTATATTAACTAAAATAATTCCTTTTCCATGTTCTGTGTACTGCGGGAGACCAGATATAGTGAATGCAGGGTCCTGGGTTTAGTAACACTTTAAGTCATAATAGGACATTAATCCATCAAACGGAAAAGTTAAAAGAGTGGAATAGAAGGGAGGAAATGAATAGCAATTTTTAAAGGAACTAATAGGCCAAAAACGCAGGCCAAGAGTTTGGCTTCAGTTTCTGCGCAACCCTGTTGACTCGATTGGGCAATTTTGGCAATAGTGCAGCCTGTCAACTCAACAAGCCATGTTAAATTTGCTGCTTCCATGATGTGAAGCCTCACAGCATGTACACAGGCCCCTCTGGTGGTATGGTAAGAGTAAAGGAGAATAAGTATAGCCAAAGCTAACGTCACAGGCTCCAGGTCCAGGCTTCCCCTCCACAGCTCAGCACTATAGTGAGCACTGGTGGGATAGAGAACGGAGCTGGTGACTAATAGTCACCGTCTCCCTGCTCACTGAAGACCAAGTACAGAGTGATCAGTGGTTTGTAATCACTCAGTTCTCGGTCTTAGAGGCAGCGGGGCACAGATGCAGCATGGATCGATGCTGCATTCACCTAAGTGAGTATGTGTTTGTTTTTTCCCCCCAAAACTTCTCTTTTAAGGTTGGTGGTTAAACCACAGCTCAACCATCTCTTCTTACCATCCATGTGAAAGAGGCCTTAAAAGCAAACCAAAGGCTCAAAATATTGACAGCTGACACTGCTTGCTAACAACTTTTTCAGGATCGTTATGTACAAGGGGATCACAAAAACCCAATGCATCTTAATGTGAAGATCTGAACACTTCTCTGTATTAACAAAAGACACCCACATTCCGTCCTACACTTTCCTATTGTCCTGTTACTTCAGTAGGAAGCTTTACAGGGCAATAGAAAGATGTAGTAGAAAGTGGTACAGTCTTGAGACAAAAAGGAGTAGAAATCAAGTCTTGTGAATGCTTTGCACCTGCATTTAAGTCCTATGGTCAGTATAAGAAGATGCAACACTGGTATGATTTTTATATTGACATTGGTCCAGCTTGGATGCATTCCTCATACCTGACAGATCCCTGTGGAAGCTGCATATCACTGCCATAGTCACCACTACTACATCTATTTTCCGGGTCCGATGCGGAGTGGCTTCCCTTCTAAATAGTGATCACAGGATGTCCCTCAGTTGGCACTGCCACTGTTCAGAGACCACCTTATATTGTTTAATGAATACAAGATGTTATCTGACTGGATAAGATGGAGATTGTGATGCCATCACCACCTCATGTAATCAGAGAAAGCCTTGTTTTAGCATTTTAAATGGCACCACAATGCATTAATGCAAGTTATATGTGTTACCATCACATACAAGTGTGGATTTCGCCAAAGAGCTGTCCCAGAACAGAGTCCAAATTCACCTGTTGTACCTCCCAGGAAGCTGTCAAAGTGGACAGCCAAATTTAGGCACTGCAGGCATACCCAGCAGCTGTGTGTATACCAGTATTTGTCAACTTATGAGCTAAAGAGGGTCTCAAATGCACCCCCTGTCATCACAAAAGGGCAGCACACAATGTTCAATGTACGTTATGCTTGAGAGGACTGTGAAACTACAAACCTAAGGCTAGGTTCACACTATGTATTTCCTTTGAATCGCACAGGAATGTGTACTGCATTCCTGTGTATTTCACATGTGATTCAGTGTGGTTCAAATTGAGCCCATTCATTTGTAATGGGCTCAAATCGCACCACAACACACCAAAGTAGTGCATGCACTGCAACCAAAGCGCATGGTAGTTTTGTACCAAGCAAACAGGTGCAGACAAATGCATTGCATTTGTGACCTGCATATGGGGTGTCATTAACATTGCACTGACACCTCCTGCAGATTGCAAGTGGAGCACGTTTTGAAAATGGTGCAGGAAATTCACACTGATAACGGGTTTCCAACACCATTCTAGTATGAACCTGAGCTAATGAAGGTCGGAGAGTGTGGACATGCTACATTTTCTTTCTGGGTATATGCTGCAGAAGACAATACAAAACTGGCAACCAGTACATGAGGTTAGTAGAGATCAATACTATTATCTTAATCAATTTTTCCACTACAGACTGCAAAGGCCCAAGGGCCACACATCATATACCAAAGAGCCAAGGTTGGACACCAGGGGTGTATATGTACAGCTGCGGGGAGTGGCATGCCTTTGCAGCCTGTGATTGGCTGTCTACTTTGACAGCTTCCTGACAGGATATCTCAGGTGGAATTGGACTCCTGTCCAAACACTTCTGAGATCATCTATGGTGAAACTGGGTAAGTACAGCATTCCCTTACTTGAGCAGGAAGTGAAGGGAAAGCTCCTCTACGGGACTCAAACAGTAAAACAAACTTACAGACTTTTCTTATGATATCCAAAACAAAACTCAAAACAGCTAAGGCTACATAAAAGGGGTTAGACAAAAATATAGAACCACTACATTATTTGCAGGTGTGAAAGTGACATGTTCCACATTGAAAGCGGAATTGATGTGACTTTTTTTGCTGCTTCTGTGTGATGAGACACCTAGCTAACAGGTGGGAATCTTTCGTCATTCATTGCACTGCTAGTAATTGGAGTCATTTCAGAGCTTACTGAGCTTCAAAGAGGGCAAATTGTTAATGCCCACTTAGCTGGGGCCTCTGGGACTGAAGTTGCCAAGTGCCATGTTGCAAGGTACAGTATCAAAGGTTATGACAGCATATTCAGTTTCCGGGACTGTCATCTGATAAGCATAAGCGCGGTTGATAGGTCAACTGACCGAAAGAGACAAAAAGGACATTGTGCAGGACTGTGAGCTGAATAAGAAAACTGCTGAAAAAGTGACTGCAGAGCTCAATCTCAGTCTTCGAGGGAAACTGCATATGCCGTCATAACCTTTTTGATACTGCACCTCGTGACATGGCAAATAAAATGGCACCAGTTGCCATTTTATTTGCCGTGTCACGAGGTACAGTATCAAAGGTTATGACGGCATATACAGTTTCCCTCGAAGACTGAGATTGAGCTCTGCAGTCACTTTGCAGCAGTTGTTTTCTTCCAGATCTCAATCCTGCGCAATGTCCTTTTCGGTCAGTTGATCTCAGTTATGCTCATCAGATGACGTTTTGACAGAAACCGTATATGTATATGTTGTTATAACCTTTGATATTGTACCTTGTGACACGGCAAATACATTGGCAACTTCAGTCACAGAGGCCCCAGCTAAGCTGCACCAACAATTTGCCCTCTGTGAAGCTCAGTAAGCTCTGACATGACTCCGTATTACTAGCAGCGCATGCAGATAACGAAAATGAGGCTTCGCACCTGTTATCTAGGTGTCTCATCACACAGCAGAAGAAAAAGAATGTTACATCATTTCTGCTTTTAACATGAAACACGTGGTCACTTTCACACCTTAATGATGTAGTGTTCCATTTTCGTGTCTAGCCCCAGTATGTGGAATATGTTAGATTTCCTATGCATCCTGTCTGAGTTGCAGACAACTCCCTGAGGTCAGATCAATGTGAACAAGTCTGAGTCAAGTCCCCTAACACGATCCTGACTTCCAGGCTCTTACCACTCCATCCTGCTCGGGAACCCCAGCGGTGACATCAAACTCCCCGGTGTCGCTCTCCTCTCCCCCCCGCTCCTGAGCCGATTTCCGTGCCCGGTGTCCCTTCTTCTTCTTCTGAGCCATGCCTACAGTTCGCTCTTCAATAATCAGCCTTGGCCGGTCCCACACAGCAACGTCCCCCTAAAACACAGAGACTCCTCAGCTCAGACAGGTCACACACGTGTCTCTCCTCAACCCGGAAGTGATGGTGTGACCGACTTCCTGGACCATACCTTTGCGCTCAGAGCACGGGGGTAGGTTGTTTCTTCCGACCTCTCTAGGTATGTTGTCTGCCGCGCCTATCTTCCTAATGTCAGTCCAAAGCTGAGTGAGGAGGATGAGAGCCGGGTACTGGGGTCTCGGAGGGGCTTTGTGTGTCTTAGGAAGGGAGAAGCAGGGAGTAGGACCCTCCCGGGGTGATTGGGTAGTGCCGGGCGGGAGGTGTTTATGTTGTCACTATGGGAGCCTGGAGCTGAGCTGGACGGTAACAGTATGCTGCTACAGATGATTGCATGGTTGTCAGGGACCCCCAGTGTCCTCCTACTACAAGAACTGCATGTCCATTCAGGAAAGGCTGGGGGTGCAGAATGTCTCCACCATAATAGCAGGCCTCTGTTCCCTGGCTGAGAGACATCAACTCAGTGGGAAACCTAGCAGTGAACCCGTGTGTTGTCAATGGAAAGGAATACATTCACTGTGTGAGCTCTAGTCAGAGCTTACACAGAGCCCAGGACTCAACCCACTCCAATCACAGAGCTGGGCCAATCACAGCTCTGTCACATCCTCCCTTGTGCCTGTCAGTGCTGGTCAGATTGGGGGGGAGGAAAGAAAGGCCAGGGGGTACTTTTAGGCTACGTTCACATCTATGCAGTTTGCGTTTGATCTGTTTCTGCAGTGCATTTTGCAGTCCGTTTTTTTGTTTTTGCTGCGTTTTTATTTTCAACTTGTTGCTAAGCAGATTAAAACGCATCAAAAATGCACTACATGTTTACATGTTTTTCTGCAGCGTTTTCATTGAATTCTATAGAACCAAAAACACAATGTTCTAAGTTTAAAAAAGTCCCTGACCCTGTCCAAAAAAATGCACCAGGTGAAAACACGAAGATGTGAACCTGTCCCATAGGAAATCATGTGAAATGGACTGCTGTGCGTTTCTACAACACACAGCAGAAAACGCTTATGTGTGAACCTAGACTTGGACCTCGTGCACAGGAGATGTCTATAAAAGCCTTCC